TGAAAGTTCATTTTTGATCAACGATGCTCAGCAAACACTGATGTCTGCTACACAGTGCAACAAGAACACACGTTGGACATGTCAGGTTTACACAGCCAAGCATTTTGGAAAGAAAAAATTAATACTTATATCATGCTCACCAGCTAGTAAAACCTAGGATATTATCACAACATCAATTCATTAAGTGCCCTGTTTCATGATTATACGTCATATGCGTCATCTCATTTAATATTCACAACCGTCTTAAACCTCATTAAAAAAAAAACTGAGATCCTGATTCTCCATCGTCACCTGACCAAGCCAGTAACGGCATGATCACACTTGTATACAAATGTCTGACTTCACACCACATTCTCCCCTACCATGTCTTCCTTCTTCAGCCTAAGCATTCAATCCTGACCATGACCATCAACTTTTTGAAACACAGATTATCAGTGGGGAACCTGAGACACTGACCAGGCAGGGCACAGGGTTCCAAGGAGCCCCCCAGGAGGAGGAAGGCCACTGTCATTCATTCCACTGAGGCAAAAGGGAGCACTTGGCTGACAGAATTCCTTCCCCCTTGGAACTGCTACTCTCAGGGAGTAATTGGAAGTAAGTGAGACCCTCCTAGGCTGTACATCAGGACACCTCCAACCACCCAAAAATCCCACCTAGAAAAGTCTCCATGGCATCTTCTGATAATGGCTCCTTGAGAAAGACAGGACAAAACTCACCAGTGACTTTTATTTATTCCTTCATTAACAATCCCCGGTTTTCAATATGGGTGGAGACAATTTGAATTAAAAGCTCAGAACTGAATAAAATAATGATTAATGATAACAGGTAAACCTGAGTCCACTGGGCACTCCTACGCTTTTATCCCCCCCCGGCAACCTTTGGAGACAGGCATTACTTTCATCAGTCCCATTGAACAGATGGAACAAGAAAGCTCAAGGAAGTGACATTTCTCTGTGGTAGATGATAGAGCCAGTAGGTGGTGTAACCAGGTTTCACACCTGGCCAACTGATTCCACTAGTAAGGTGACCACTCTGTGACACTGCCTTCACAGATCCAGGGTAAAAGCAAGTGCTATTTAAGTTTCCAGGGCTGTCAGCAGTCAAAAACAGAGACAAGGAAAGAAGCTAAAACTGAAAAATAAAATTTACTTTGAACCTCCCCATGGCCAATCCTTAAAGAAAAAAAAGAGCAATGATCCTCACTCATAGGGTAAGTAGTCACCATGGTGTGTGGGGGACTGAAGGGTTTCTCATAACATGGGACTTTCGTGGGAAAACAGAGAGCGATTTTATTTTATTAGGCCTAAAGTCATTAAAAACATGCAGAAAAAATCCTCATGGCATTTCCAGACATCCATTGGCTCCTTCAGCATCTCCTCCCATCATCATTAAAAATACAAAATAATTTTCTCAACATTCTGCTTGAAAGATGAAGGGGTTGTAGAAAAACGAAGCCCTGCTAATTGTTAGGCTTCAATCATCACATCTATTAGTATGATCAAGAGTCTGAGTAAGAAGGGACACAAATTCTGGGCTAAATTTTGGTCTGTGAACTCCAGCTGTGCTTTGATTTTCTTTTCCAAAGTCATATAGGCTTGCTTTCTTAAGGGGGTGGGGGGAAATCCTACCCTATGTCACAAGCAGATTCAAGGCCATGGTTCTTAGAAAGCCTGCTAACAATCTTGTCAGAACTGAAATAAAAACTGCATAAAAACTAAACCAAAACCTCTTATAACCAGATGAAATGGCAGCTCTGAGATCAGCAACGTGGGGACCAAGTCCTCTTTAGCTTTGTTTCCTCAACCCAGCAATAACTTGCAAATAAGACCTGTCTTAATTGCAATCTTAGTAAGTCAGAACTAAAAAAAAAAAAAAAAAAAAAGAAAAAAAAGTTCCTTAACTGTTATTTGGTGCACATGTTTACATGGGAGTAAACTGAGGCCTGGAGAGGGGAAGTAAATGAATTGCCCAGGGTCAGTCACAAAGCTGAGTAAGGACTAATTGAATTAATTGGGAAATGGGATATTCTTTAATTAAGATGAGACAACCCTACCTATACCACCACGAACTTGTATAAAAGAAAACAAGGGGTCATTAAAGAAGCCAAGATTTTAACTCTACTCTACGTCATCTGTCACAGGTCTTCGTAGACCTCATGTGTTAAGTGAAAAAGAAAAGCAAATGTTTTAAGAATCCTGAGCAAAACAAATGAGCAATCACTCAAATGCATAAGACAAAAAACATTTAGGGAAAGGACCAAATTTCTGCAAAAACATGTTGAAATTTTCAAAAAAAAAATTGAAGAAGTTTTTAGACTAAATATTTCATATATATTTTCAAGCCAGTTTAGTTCTATTTAGATTAAGAGCAATGCTCTTTAATATAGCATGTGCAGAAATATAACATGATTCTATTCAATGAAGATAACTGAACATCTACTATGGGCCGGTCACAGTGCTAGGTCCTCAGGCCTGCAAAACAAGATCAAGCAGGCTCTTGCAAGGAAAAGGAAAGGCAATGAAAAGGTGAGTCAACTTCCTGACAAAACACACATACAAAGTCAAAAGGTCAAGACAGAAAAATTCCAATGAAAATCTCCAAGCATCAATCACAATTTCTCACCTCAATACATAATCCAATCAATCAATGATCGATCATCGTATCTGAACATCTGTCACCTGCTCAGAAGTACAATCCCCACTTTAAGGATTAAATCATGTAGATGAGCCAATTAGAGAGAGAGAGAGAGAGATCTGAAGAAAAATAATGCAAGTCATATGAAATAAATGCCAAGTAATGGGGTGTCCTGTTGGGTAGGCACAGTCATTTTGGATTAGGAAGAAAGAGGAAGAAGAGGCTTCATGTAAGAGCAGGAGTCTACACTGGCTTTGAGGCATATGATAATCAGATAAAACACATTGTACCTATGAGAAGAGGTAGAGAGCCCCAGGTGTGCTCAGGTGTCAGTGTGACAACTTGAGTGGCTGTAGCAGAGTGTAAGAAGGCAAACCCACTGGTAATAAAAGAGAAAAAAGGCATGTGGCAACCAGCCTCTGGAAGACGCCTCTGTTCCTAGGTTGGAAGTATGATAAAAGGGTTACATAGCTATCTAAGTTGCCACTGCAAATCTCATTTCTCAGGCCTTTTATTTTTTCCCCCCAAAAAAGGAGTATAATTTGATCCTTCCAATTTCTCATGGCTAGATCTAAGCAGATCATTTCTAAGGTTACGTGATTTTAAAACAGCCCTGTGCATTCATCGGTCATCAGTGGAATCTACGAACAAGAATAAGTGAGCAGATGTCTGCAGCCCTGAAGACCAAGCTGAGCCTCCCTGTCAAGTCATTTCCCAGGAATCTGGGTAAATCATAGCTTCTCCTGCCAGATGGGAAACAGGATTCACCAAGTTCTTTGTGATTCCTTCATACACAATGTCACACCAGCAAAACCAAATTAAAAGTAAGTATCCAAAAATATGGGCTGTACAAATTTTAAAACACATGCATAGAAACAGAACAAAAACAAGAAAGACAAATGCATAGAAACAGAATAAAAAGAGTACCTGAAATGACCACATATTTATTGTTCAGAAAAGCCATCTGAACAAAGACAAATCTTATTCACCTTAAAAACTCTTCCTTAAATCACATTAGTAATCCTTCATAATTGTGAACCAATTCTAATTTAAAGTATAACATTCTTTTAAATAGTTTAGCACTAACCATTTGCAATGATTTTTCTTATTTTTCTTTTCTTTTTTCTTTATTATTCAGGCATGGTGTTTTAGTTTTCCAACTTTGCATAAATTTTATCATAGGCTACTGAGTGGCTCTTTAGAATATCCTCACAAAGCAACATCCTAGTATTTATACTAATATCAAGGTAGTCAAGGGAAATGCCTTTATGTTTGGTTAGTGTTTCCGAATTTGAGAGGATTTGTGGTGGGGTGGGGGCAGTAGCAGTTCTACTCTCTTTGTAAATGCCCACATAAAAGAATTACTAAAGAAGGAGGTTGTGACTTGGACATGCTCAGAGTTCAATTCTGCCAGGAGTGGTAAAAACAGTCAACAGAGTCCTAACCTCCCTTCTATCTTGACTATACAATAGTCTTCAAAGAGGTTTAGTCCTACTATGAAAGACTCATGTTAGACATCGGAAGGGTCTCATAGAGAATGAGCACCAGGCCTTGAATAAACAAGGGAGATGGTGACCTTTGGCCCCCTTCTGCTGAAAGCCCAGCACATCCTGTGGCAGAAGACCAGAAAAGAGTTGGTGTGCAACCAGGTGCTGCGAAATCCTTGCCTCTGGGTTTCTCCCACACTTTACTTCTTAAACAGTTTAAACCTCAGACAGGACTTAAGCAGTATTAGGGAGTGGGAGAAAAGTACAATTCCTGGAACCAACTGTTCCACTGTCCCTTAATCCTTTGTTACCCCGTATTGTTTGAGGCCTGCAGCATGCAGCACACGTTTCACCAGCAACAGGCAAGACAATGGATTTAGCAGTAGCTGGACAATTAGTTCCAATTAGGCCTATTTCTCAGCTGAATGTAAAGGGGTAGTGGGGTGAGGTGTGGGAAAAAAAAAAACTACACAAATTTTAAAGAAATATTTCATTATGGAAGCAAGTAATACAGGGCAAAACAAACTGAAATAGGGGTCAGGAGATGCTGCCAAAATTCCCTGTGCAACATTAAGAAAATACCTTAACCTCTCTGTTCTTATCTACAAAATGCAGACAACCAACCATAACCCTTCAAAGCCTTTGAATATCCAATGTCAAACTATGCTTGCAAGTGCTCTAAAATTTGAACTGTTACGCAGATGTAAGGGATTTCTCCTGGGCTGTATTTGGAACCACAGATACCCATCTGTTCTGTAAATCATTTACTTTTTAATTCTCCCTAGCAGAATGCTAGACGAGAATGGTTTTCTTTCTTATTTTATTTCTATACTCTTGACTGCTAATTTTTTTTTTTTTAAGTTCATGAGCAATACTTACATATGTACATGTGGCGGCTGGAATCTGCTCTGGTTGATGTTGTAGTGTGTGAATGCCTGGGTGGGGTTTGAGCTATACTCATCCACCGTTATGGTAACTTTGCCTTGAGAAGGAATCCCATGTGCCATCCTTCCTCCCTATGGGCATGAGCAATTCACAACTTTCTGGAGCAAAAGATGGAAGCAGGCATGGTTCGTTTCAGCCAACCTCTGAATCCAAGGATTTACTCATCAATACCGCTGTGTGTTTCTAGAAGAAAAAAATATATATATGTGTGTGTATATATAATAAGAACAAAGAGAAATAAGATGCTCAGAGATATTAAATTTGACATCTAGACACAAAATTGGTTCAGGAAAAATGTGAATCAATGTTGTTGCCTTGTAGGTACCACGGATCCCAACTCTCTACCCTGCTCGTACTTCAGAGTGGACATTATTACACTGTATTTGACATTGCTGGATGCTACTAAATCATCTCAATGGAGTTCAACCTAAGATTTCCTCTTTAATTATAATTATGGCACTTAACGTGAATTACTGAAGGGGCAAATCCGCAGTTGCCATGGTGTCTAGCTATAAATGGTTTGTGCTTAAAGTGAAGACTCTTCCAAGCCTTCCCCACTAATTGGAATGTTTGGTCTTTACAAAGTTGGTGTCACATAATCACTTGAAATCTCCATGCTTCAAAGATCTATATATCATAATGACAAATGTAAATAAAAATCCTGTGCTTATAACAGACACCTGGGCATGACTATAATACTTATATTAACACTCACACGTTAACACGTGACTTTTCTTTCACTTGCAGTCCCAACATATATAATGCCTAGGATGCATAAGCATTTCTTTCTGGCCAAGAACTTGATGGTAAGGTAAATTCTTCTTGCTAAATGTAGTACGGTTTCTTTAAACACTCTGGTTCACTCAGGAAAAGGCCAAAGGCATCCATCCGGGACTGAATTACCACTTTGGATGCCATTCGTTACCTCCCTTCTCCTGGTCCTGATGGACCAGTGAGGGAGCTTAGTCCTGACTGCATCTTGGTGCTGCATAATTCTCACTAGTTGGTTTCATCTTTTTAAAAAAATCCCATTAGTTCTCATTCTTTTCATAAATGTCCATGTATTAGTTGCCACATTGGATTGAGAAATGAAGACGTCTATTTTTACGGCAGGGTGCAAAGATAGAGGAAAGCAAATTCTTGCATGGAAGCTGCTAAAACTGATGAGTTCAGAAGAGAAGTGGGAAGCACTCCCTTTGGTAACCCTTGGGTAACTAGCACTCTTTCTTTAACTGCTCTGCATCAGAATACATTTGCCATGTGCACCATTAAGCTCCAGAAATCTTAGCTGCTATCTCGAATAAAAATATTTAGAATAATAAGATTAGATTTAAATTTGGCATGAAACACCTTAAATATCGAGCAAAAGGCAGATGGCCTGCCATAGGCCATTTATTTTATTATTTTACAACCCGGGGCTTGTGTAGTCCTCCATATGCTAGCTGGGCTAAGAAATTCCACAACGTTCTACTCAAATCACTGGCTTCTTCATATTAGCAAAGCCATCTAAATAAACCTTGTCTGTGTTCCTAACGTGCAACTGCACTGCCAAGAGATGAATCCCTGGTGCTCTGGCATTTTAAACAGTGTCACTTTGGGTTCTCTTTCTTCCTCCTGACTTCATGAGAGGTATGACTCCTTTAAGCACCAGTTGATAGACACCCAGGCCAGTGGGATTAACTAAATTAAAATCTTTGCCTGCTCCTCTGATGTAAGATATCTATAAGAACTGCTTACAAATCATAATGTAGCAGTTTTCATACCAAGTTTGCAGCTGTTTCCTTAATTTTCCCCACAATTATATTTTACTGTTATTTTGCATAACAGTAAAACACAACACCTGCTTCAAATTGCAGTCCTGTTCTAAGTACTGTAATTCTCTTTTGAGACACAAAGTACTGAGACACCACTGAAGCGCAGAGCTGCATAATTGCGTGGCGCTGAAAAGTAAATACAAATGAAAACATCTTCCTGTTATAGAAATGACTGTCATTAAAAAGAATGTTAGCCATCAAAGCACAGAGGGGAAAAAAATACACATTTTCAGACTACGAGAACTTAGTGTTTGCATAAATTAGAGAGTGGTATAAAAATTACTTGGCAATTCTTATGTTCTTTCCATCAATGTCTATTGTGTGAAATATGGAACATTCAGAGGCAAAAGAAACCAAATTCATGTCTAGACCACTGTGACCCCAGAGTAACACTCAGTGCCAGAAAAAGTTTAAATGTTTCTGGAGTAAACTCATTAAACAGAATGTGGCCTACAAATAAAATATACAAACTTAACATTTAAATTTCTATGCAATGTTTTCAAGTGGGTAGCATGATACCCTCCTAAGTTCTATTATTGGAAACCTAGAAGAGACAGAACTTAGAAAGCAATCAAGCCACATTCCTAAACAGTCTTCTCCATCCTAACATCAACCTACAGATTGCCTTTTCTGTCAGTGAATATCTGTGCCTCTTTGCACCTTTGCCCCAGCAAGACAAATAGAACATCTTTTCATCAGCAAGCACAGGCCCCTGGAACTCTGAAGGGCTAAATGGGTGGTTGGCACCTCATTTGAATTCATCTTTGCCATGTTCCCTTTCAAATGCTTTATCGAAACAGTGCACCTGCGGCGTCTATCTTCTTTAATCTGGAGTCCTTTGAAGAAAATGTCAGACTGAGGCAGAGAGCTTCAAAACTTTCATAGCACCTTTACAGACAAGTCAAGAAAAGACTTATTTTTTTTAAATGCTATGTTCACCTCCACCCATATCTCAAAATGAACGTATCTTAAGAATATTAAGCACAAACACAAGGAAAAGATTGGATTTGGGGTTTTCTATTTATTTGCTTGCTTTTTGTTTTATATATTGTTTTTGTGAACTCTCTCAGACAAGGGACAATCAGCAAAATTACCTCTCTTCATATGAAAATTGGGGGAAAGCTTGCAAGAAGACATACTACCTAAAATTATCAAAAGGCTGCACCACCTTGCTTCATATATGTATGTAGCAAAACCTTCCAAATGACCATATTTTGGTGCATCTCACCCTCTTCACGCTTACACCACCACAATATTCAGAGAAAGTATTTTCTTAATTTTCATTTTATATTTCAACACATTTGCTCCACAAAACAAAGGCACCCAGGACAAAATGCCAATTCGCCTAAAGAAAAACCTAAAAGGGACTGACACTGCCAAACATCCACACTGCTGTTAGTTTGATTTTCTTTTCTCAAAAAAATCATGTGAACACATTTTGCATTTCCTAGACAGCAGTCACTTCTCCTGTCCCTGACGCTATACAACAAGGAATGTTCTTTTCCAGGAATCTACTTGGAAAATCTCTTAAAGTCTGCTGGCAGTGCAGGGATTAAAAACTGAAGAATTAAATAACTGTCTCCACCTCCTAGACACCAGAAGTCCAATTTACCGAAAGTTTCAAAGCAACAACTCCTGACCTCTCTACCCCTGCACAGCCTGGCAAAGCCTATGAGAAAGGAGCCCGCGGTTTCCTTGTTTAAACAAGGATGCTCATTTTAATCACTTGCCCCAAGAACATCGCCCGACAGCGTGAAGGGACTTTGGAACTCGCCAGTTCCAACTCCGCCAAATTTTGCTCTCTCCTCCCTCTGCCTCACAGATCGACAGATCCACTGCTTTCTTGACTCACGCCTCTACTCTTTTATGCCCACTTCCAGTTACTCATCTCTGCTTGCGGGGAGCGATGCACACATGCCTTCTCCAAGGCTCCTCCGCCAGTCTGGAGGGGATGCTGACATAGAGTTCCACGTGCCTCTGTCCACAGAGCTCCCTCCCTCCCATTGCACTTACACCTGAACTTGTCTCCAGCACTGCGGACACCCGGCTGGCACATTCTTGCGGAGAGGGAGGGCGAGACTTTTCTCCCGCGCCTCTGACAACGCGTGGAGTCTATATATGGTGGGGCGGGTGGGCGCAGAATTCTCTACTTTGGATTGGTTTGTTTGTTTTAAATCGAGGGTGGGCAGTTGGAGAGGGGATTCAGCTACTGCACACACACTCACATGCACGCGCGCACACTCACACACTCACACACACACACACACACACTTGCCCTGCCCTCCCGGCTCCTGGCTGCCTGGTCCGGGCCATAGCTCCCCCTTCCTTCCTGAAGCACCAGCTCGCCTTACTCGCTCAGTCCCGGTTGCCACCGCGTCGTCTCCGCTGTTGCCGCCGCTGCTGGCACTATTGGCGCTAGCGCTCGCGGCTCCGGGGTCCGCTGGGCGCCTGTCTTTTTTCTCTCCCTCTTCCCCAGCCCCGGATTGATTGATGACCACCAGTGGCCAATGGTTCTGACACCGCGCCATCCTCGTTGGGGCATCACAACCCCACGTCCCCGACGTCAGCCTCCCAGGCGCGTTGGCATCCCCGAACCCACAGAGCGGAGCCCGAGCCCCAAGTAGCCGCCGCCTCCCTGCTCTATGCCCGGGGGCTTCCAGGCTCCTTCCTCGAGCGACCGAGAAAGGAGGGAGCCAGAGAGCATTGGAAGGGGATGTGGAGGCCACCGATTTCCCCCCTCTTTGGAAATCTTTTCTTTTCAGTTAAAGTTTTGTTTGTTTTTTTCCACCCTGACCTGTTTGTGTTTATTTGTTTGCAGCATCGCAAATCAATTACACATTTTTCATGACCCGCATTCGCACTTCATTTGGGGTGTGTGTGTATGGGGGGTGGGTGTAAACGTGCTATAAATCAACCCCACTGAGGCATCATTTATTTTCTTGCTGATGGATTCCAACCCCCCTCCCGAACCTTCAGAAAAATGCCCCCTTCACCTCCTAGGCCGCAAAACCCTGCAATTCAAAGGCTTTACAAAGATAACCTTGTTACGTGTAAATAGCAAAGAAACTCCAGCCTCGGTAGAGAAGAAATCGGGCGGCAACGGTTACTTTTTCTCGTTGCTCGTCCCCGGCCGCCTAGCCCCAGCCCCAGCTCGGGTCGCCGGGTCGCTCCGCAGGCTACGATCGTGAAGACCTGAGGCGGCGGCAGAGAGTGAGGTTGGGGCGCGGGGACAGGGTGAGAAAAAGCCCCGCTCGAGAGCAGAGCGCGCGCGGGCGGCCCCCGGGGGTGGCCGCGGGGCGCAGCCGGAGCACAAAGCTGCACCGCGCCTTCCCAGCCACTGCACCTGGCCTCTGAACGCCGCGGGCGCCTGGGGCTCGGGCCAACACAATGCACCCGGGCCTAGGCCGGGGCGGCTCGAACACATAACCCCAGGACTTTCTAGTAAACAGCTCGCCGAACCCTCGTCCCCACCCCCATCCCCAATGCCCGGCTTTCGCCCCTGTCCTTCGCAGACATCCACTCCTAAGAAATACGGGCGGAGGAGGGGGCAGTGAGGTGGGGACCCCAAGAGGTCGGGGGGCCGAGGGTTGGGGGGAGGGGACAAGAGAAAAGGGGCAAGATGGGGAGTAGGAGGGAAGACAGTTCCTAAAAAAGAATTCGCTTTCGCCTGGGGATTGAAAATAAGCCCTCCCAGGTTCTGAATTGCCCGCTCGGCCAATGTCAGGGGCACCGGGGCAGCCGCGGTCGGCAGCCTCCGATCCCCGCCGCACGCGCCTCTGACAAGGCACCTCTCACCCGGGCTCCGCTTTGTGTGTGCATTTTTTTTCCCTTCCTCTCGCGCTCGGCACCGGGCGCCCGGCCGCCTCCTCCCCCTCCCCCGCCCTCCGCCTCCCTTCCCGGGGCGGATTACCTTTCCCGGGCTGCGCTCCGGGTCCCGGGGATGCCTTCAGCGCCCGGTGTGCAGGCGATCCATCGCCGAGCGGCCCGAGCTTGCTAGAAGAGCGCTGGGGGCGCTTGGGGGCGGCGAGGGGCGCGGGCGGGCCAGAACCTTCGACCCCGAAGGTCCCGCCGCGAGCTGGGGCGGGGGGCCAGGGGGCTCGGCGCTAGAGGGAGGCGGGGGGAGAAAGGCCCCGAGCAGCCTCGATCTGGGGCTCGAGCGAACGAGGGGGCGAGAAGAGGGAGCGAGGGCGCGGCGAGCCAGAGGGAGCGCGAGCGGTGCAGTGACAGGGACTGCCACTGGGGTCAAAGGAGCACAGCTCCAGGAAGCAGGGCGGCCGAGGCGCAGCTCCGTGCGCGCTCCCCGGCGGGACCCCGCGCCCCTGCACGCCCCTCCTGCAGTCCCGGCCCACTCGAACCCCCACCGGCGCCCCGAGGCCACCGGGTTTCTAGGGGGAGGAGGGAGCAGAGGGCGAGGCCGGCAGCCTGCTGGTGCTCCCGGGTCAAGCAGGCTGCAGGAAGCTGAGCTGCAAGTTCATCATCATGAGTGTGATCAGTGTAAAAAATGATAGGGGACGGGAAGGTGGGGCGGGCTACAGAGCGCCGGGAAAATAGGGAGTTATCCCCCCAGATGGGCGTCTTCTGCAAAAAGAACACCCGGGGCCCCCACCCATCGACCCGCCAGGCACTGTCAGAGGTCCTGGCACCGCTCCAAGATACAGAACTCCCTGCGGGGGCAAGGGGAGTGGCTGGAGCACTTTGCTCAGACCAGGAAGGCGACCCAAGGTTCCCTACTATCTGCTAAGCTGAGGCTTTCCTGGAGATACTGTGTTCCCTTTCCCTAAACCTTTCATCATCATCATCAACAACACACACACACACACACACACACACACACACACACACACACACACACACACACCCCTTTCTCTCTGCATGTTGTTCCTGAGAAAGAAAAGGCCAACCCAACAGTTCTTTTTTTTTTTTTTCCCTTTCACCTCCATGAATTAAGGCAGGTTCAGAATAGTAAGGTGAAGAGAGTCAAAGACCAAATTGTTCCCATTTTTGTCTTTGGGGCACTTTGCCCCTCCCCAAAAGGTAAGCACTTAAAAAGCATTTTCAGACCGAAGTTACTCCAGTTTTCTCTACTACTTTGGAAAATGTAAGAGAAAATGTTCAGAATTTTATGTAAAGTCATAAGGGAAGGAAAACCGGCTGCAATGCTAAAGAAAACAAGGGAGAGAAGATTTTTAGAAAACTTGGTTGGCCGGGTTGTCTGTGAAAGATGTGGTTGCCTTGTGATGTTATGCCATTGTCAGAGCTAAAGGATTTGGATGGCAACCAGAGGTAATTCCCTTCCAGAAGTCAGACCCAGAGAGCTCTGCAGTCTCCAAAGATAAATCCAATGTATGTGTGTGAGAGAGAAGAGGGCCAAGTATACTATGTGACAACTGACTAGACCCTGGCTGAAATTATACCCCCTAAAAATAAAATGGAGCCATTTCAACCTGGTCTGTGGCTTCTGTGCTGAGACTAATTGGTTTCCAGGGCCTGGGGAGGAAGGGAGAGAGGCTGGAAGGAGCCCCTATAAAAAAAGATCAAACGGAATTCACTTGAAAATATTTCCCTTTTACAATGGGCTTTCCTGGCACTTGAATTTTAAATAACCCATCTCTTATGCCTGGGCTGAAATGAAGGGGGAAATGGTCTTACTAATGTATTTATTTTATTGTACAGCATGCCCAGAGTGTCGGTACTTGTCAAATGTGCTGAGATGGAAAGGACACTGTCTTTCCTTGCCTAGCAGAAATCACAGCAAGTGACATTGATGTTAAAGGATGCCAAAGATGGGGTGAAGGGGCACTTTTATGTTTTGTTTTTCTTTTGTTTTGCAGCCCAACAGCAAACACTCACTAGAATCATATTTTTGAATAAATGCTCTGTTTGTTTTCCTGACTCTCTGAGTTAACAGAACACTCCTTTAATCTAAATGGTTTGAATTTTTAGACTGATTTGGGCTGATTTGATCAGTCAAAAAAAAAAAAAAATCGTCACCAGCCAAATAACTTTTGTGGTTTTCTTCTTCTTTTCAGACTAACTGGTAGTCAGTCAATCAAAGCCACCAAACTAGTTTAAACATGATTTGGAATCTAAATATGTGCACACAGACTGTGAATAATAATACCTTCTATTTTAGTGGCACATATTACAGGATATTTAATGCTATAAAAATCAAGTGTGTGATTTTACAAAAGTTGATGAGAAATTCACATATCATTTTACTGAGTGGGAAAAATTGAGGAAAAAAGGCTTACAATTGTCATTTGTAGTTCAGGAAAAAGTCAACCTTACTGTGTGTGTCCCTGCTAATAGATCAATTACCTGGTATTGACCAAGCTGTATTTGGTTATGAATTTTTATTTCCATTTGGCTACTAAAATAAAGAAGTTGGAGAAATGTAAGTGAATTTGAACAATAAATCAAGAACAAAAGGAAATCGCTTTTCAAATAATTCTCATTATGTGGATTTGATCTTACTTCATTTTGTTAAATTATATTCTCCACAAATATAGCTATCTACACTCAAAGCTTGTTTTAAAATGATTGAATGTGAACAACGTCCATCCCCTGATATAAACTGTGATATATTGCCTCATTCTATCAAGTTTTAAATATTATAGGCTAAAGTTTGTTTTTTGTTTTTATACTTTTAGAAAACCAAACCTGTAAATTCAATTTTTGTTTTTTTACAATGAAAAACAAAGGGACAGAAATCAACTGTCAAGTTCCTGATGGGCTTTAAGTAGATATTACAAATATTTTTCTTTAATAGAATACAAAGCTGGGCCCTTTTTCCAGTGATTTCATCAATGAAACTGCTTCCTGATAGTTCTCTGCAGTACCTTTTAAAATACCTTGTCAGAAAGCATTTAGGGAAGGAAATAGAAGAGCATGAGAGAACTCTGGGTGGAATCTTGGAAAGGGAATGATATATCCCTTGAAAGTTCAGTACTTTGTTTGCAGTATTTTATTTCATCCTCCCTTTGAGAACAGGTTTTTCAACACTTCAGGGACATGTGTATAACTTAAAACTTGCTTCAATCCTGTGATTCTTCTTCAGAAAAAATAAAATAAAATTCCTTGAAATTACTGCATTTTGTTGAACAATTTTATTAAAATTATATAATTACTCTAACATCGTTTTTTTTTCCTTTAAGTTTCTGCATTTTTATCACTTTCCAGCAAATGTTAAAATGTATGCCATCAGAAATGACAGTCTCTTAATAGGACTACTACTTGCATTTAATTAAGGGGAGAAAAAGCCTCAGCCAACAATATTTTTATTCTGAATTCTCACAGTTCTTATGTTATTTTTTTTATTTATTTCAAATATTTTATTGTCACCCCTCTCCCAAGTTGAAAAACTGTGCCCTCTATTTCTTTTCTGTCCTTCATCCTTGTGTACTATACATAGAGTGGAAAATGTGGAAATATTTATTAAATGGCTGCATGGGTTAATAAATGAGAAAGTGATGAAGAGAACACATCAGTAAGTGAGCCAAATACACAATGAAAGAAAATCCACGCCAGATCTACAATAAAGGAAGTGATGTCATGAGGCCAGTGTGGTAGGATCAGAGCTAAGAAGTTTCCCGAGGGTTAAAATAGCACATTTTAAAGGATTTATGGATATACTTAGAAACACAAAATAATATACAAGATTGTTTTAGAAATTAATTTTCTCAGAAAGAAACCAAAATTGTTATGTGTCACATCTGTTTAAAGGTAGACTTCTTTAAATACAGTAAGATGCCAAAATAAAAAGAATCTGGAGTTGTATTTGTGCCTTAAAATTTACAGAGATAATTCACCAAGATATATTTCTCAAAAGAAAGATGTTTAATCTTATTTTTTGATAGATCTCTTATTTTTTGATAGATAATCTTATTTTTTGAAGTCTTTAAAATAAATATATAAATAATGTTGGTGTCATTTGCATTTTAAATTTCCTTTTAGGTAAATATGGCTATGAAAGAGTTAGGAAATACTAGAATGGAATTATTTTATGAAATTTTATTTCATACAGTAAAATTTTCTAGTCTTTGTCTTAGGCTAAACAAAATTCAGCTTTTCTGGCAGCTGAAATATTAAACATGGAGGGAATAAAAAAAAAAAACCTTAAAATTTTGCAAAACACTAATTCTTCCCACATTTACTGACCAATGTCTAGCATGTATCAGTAAATCAGAAAAAAAAATAGCATTTATGCAATAATTTTTGTGTGTGTGTGTGGTGCTGGGGATCAAACCCAAGGCCTTCTACATGCTAGATGTGCACTCTACTACTGGACTGCATTTCCAGCCCTATTATAATGCATTTTAAAGTCTAAACAAGATACTGAACATGGTTAATGTGTTTTCAGTTTTAATGTTAATTCTAACAGACTTACATGATATCTGTTAACAATTAATGCTTACTTAATCTTTCCTTATGTCATGGTTCCAATTTTGGAAAAGTGGTAGAATTTAGTCATACTTGGGATAGGCTTGTCATGGTGAACGAGAGCATTCTCATTGAAGTAAAAGCCAAAGTAATATCTCTTGCAAGATGGGAAATGTGGAAAAATCCATAATAATCTGGTAAAAAAATAGGTATGTGGGTATTTTAAGGGTAAGAATTCAGTTTGACAAGGTAGCATAAGAAACAACATTTTGAGACTATATAATGTAATTTTTTCCTCAGCAATAATTAAATTAATGTATACAGTTTTTCAGAACTGAGTTTGAGACCAACAGAGTCTAAAACCTATTTCACACTATCTTATTAATGTCATGGCTCAATTATTCCACAAATATTTTTTAAGCTGTACTCAGTTCCAGGCACAGATCTTAAGCCATGCTGATGATGTAATGATTCAAAAAAGCAGAGAGTTCTTCCCTGCCTTATATAAAATTACAGTGGTTTCTCAGTATCCATGAGAAATTGGTTTCAGGACCTTCCCTTGTATACCAAAACATGCAGATTCTCAAGAGCTTTATAATAAATGGTGTAATATTTGCATATAACCTAGGCACATCCTCCCATATACTTTAAATCACCTCTAGGTTACATATAATACACAGTACAATGTAAATGCTATGTAAATAGTTGTTATACTGTATTGTTTAGGGAATAATGATAAGAAAAGTTGTATACATGTTCAGTATGGATGCGATTTTTTTAAACAAAATATTTTTGATCTATGGTTGGTTTGAGTCTGTGGAGGCACAAGCTGGAGATACTGAGAGATGACTATATATAATCTCATGGGTATAGGGAGATCCTGACTGAAATCATTATGCGAATGAATGC